GATTTATTCTTACAATAAATCTTTAAATGATCATTTTCTACTTTAAACATTTGTTTTGTCCTTGTTGAGTCTGGTCCCTCACAAAAGACCTCCCATTTTCTCTGTAATAAGGCATAGACTAATCTAATAATAAGGAAAAAGAGAGATTCAACAATTTAAAATTGATTCAATTTCTCTCTAATTTAAACTGTAATACATTACATTGACAGCCATGTCAGTTGCTTCTAAATGTGGATCAAAATTGTCTCCAAAACCTAAAGACATAGGGACAAATTGGTTTCATACACAACATAAACTGAAAGGCAAAAAACCCCCAAAACATTCCAGATTTGCAAGTAGATAAAACTGATTATTGAGGGAAATAAATTCACAGTAGACTTTCAAACAGTATTTAACTATCTGTATGGTATGACAGGCTTTTTAACATACTGTACTATTAGAGTGAGCGATATGTCTGGGGTTTTGTTTTAACTGTTAAAAATTATAACATCAAAAAAATGTACTTCAAGACATAATTAATTAATTGAAAGTGACACTTCAAATGACGAATCAGGTGATTTATTTTGATATATCTTAAAAGGTATTTGGAACAATTAAAATATGATTGTAGATACCTTAAATTTGCTCTTGTTTATAATTCGACTTTAAATGCATTAAAATAATTTATTCCCATTCCAGATATCAAACAAAGTAGATTTCATGTTAAAATAGCCTTTCAGGGTCAGCTCCAAATGGGGAACATGTCACAGCAGCCCCCATGTCACATATCAATGCCCAGCATCATAATTTTATGTTAGATCGTTAAAAGAAAGTTTATACTGCTTTTTATTGTAAATAATAACCAAAGCTGTTGATTACTTATTCTCCAGATACACAGTATCTATATTGTAAATACAATGTACAGTACGCTATTTTATTTCTTTATTTTCTTAACTCTGTCATTTTTTCTGTTATTTTTATACTCTTTTTAAGGTCCTCATTGTATGACCACTTTTGCTATAACCTTTGGCTGCTGCTGTAACCAACCAATTTTCCCATTGTGCGTCAATAAAGGGATTCTCTATTCTATTCTATTCTATTCTATTCTATTCTATTCTATTCTATTCTATTCTATTCTATTCTATAGGTATTTGTAGTGTTGTCAAATACTTGTCATTTTAGCATTTAAGCACTAGAGGGAGACAGAGAGCTAAAACCAGAGCTTAGACAATGCCCATATTGTTTTCTCATTTCCTTTAAAATATATACATGCTATTTTATATTTACACCATTTATCATAGTTCCAGCATTTCGTAATTTTTTATCCATTAAAAAAACAAAACATTTAGCATCAAGATTCATTTAAAATGTGAACTAAAATGTTCAAAAAAACATTTAAAGGAAACAAAGAAAATATATTTCTTTATGAAAATGCAACTAAAAAATATAAAACATATTTGACTAAATAGAAATAGATAAACTATGAAAAAGAACTAGTAATGTCTTTCATCAGCATTATATCCAAAACTAAGATAGAGAACCACTTTGATGGCACTCCAAGGCACCATCCAAGAACAGCTCTTGACAATTCCAGGAAATATGCCGCTTAAAACGATACAAACTAGACATCAAACCCGCATCTATGATCGACAACTCCTACTGGATCTATGGTCACAAAATGTTTTAAAAACAGACATTTCTGACCGTTAAACCTCTTAAAACCCACCGGGTCAATAAAAAAATCTGAAATGTTTGAACTGTAACTATACAGTCATATGTTTACACTTTTTTCATCACAATGTTTTAACATTGTTGCTTAACTGCACTTTAAAAAATGAAAACATCTAGAGGAGCTGTACTTAATGAAATATCTTGTTTACACTTGTGTGTTCAAAATGACAAAATAAAACCTGTCTAAGCCTCTAAGTCTATTTATTATAGTATATCCTGACATTAGAGAAAGTTTTGCATCACCCCTTGATGGCTGGAAAAAAAAAGAAAATAAAGATTACAGAAAATAACCGAAAGC